GAGGAAAGTCCAAGGGAACTGGGCTTATTTAGTCTGCAGAAGAGAAGACTGAGTGGGATCTGATAGCAGCCTTTAATTATCTGAAGGGTGGTTATAAAGCAGATGGAGCTAGACTGTTCTCAGTGGTGGCAGATGACAGAACAAGGAGCAATAGTCTCACACTGCAGAAAGGGGAGTTTAGGTTGGATATTAGAAAAAAAAATTCAGTAGGATGGTGGTGAAGCACTGGAATGGGTTACCTAGAGAGGTGGTGGAATCTCCATCCTTGGCGGTTTTTAAGGCCCAACTCAGCAAAGCCCTGGCTGGAATGATCTAGTTGGGGCTTGGTCCTGCTTTTAGCAGGGGTTTGGACTAGGGCTGTGCAAGGCTTCAGTAGCCAATTTAATTTGGCCAAGATTTGGCCCAATTCGGTCACCGAATCTCTGAATCAAATCAGCAGATCCATTAAAAGTTCCAAATCAAATCAGAAGCCTTTGAAATGATTCAGAGATTCGGCCATAAACTATACAGGCAGTTCTCAATGACACTGGACACAGCTGCCTGCAGCTGATGTGCCCAGCTCTGCTGGTAAGTCTGTTGGGGTGGGCAGAGGGGAAAGGGAAGGGGCATGGGAGGGGGCAGATTAATGCTCCCACAGTGAGGGAGGGATTGGGGCTGGGGCTGGGACAAGCTGCCAGCCAGGGTGGGCAGGCACAGAACTCAGAGAGGGGGGTTCCCACCACCGCGCACCGCTGGTCTGGGAGCTGCTTTTCTGCTGGCTCCTCCAGCAGCTCTTACTACCAGTCCAGGAGGGCATGGGAGTGGGTGTGTGCCCCCAGATCTGCATGGGGCAGGCTGGACTGGGCTGGGCTGGGCTGGACTGGGCTGGGCTGGGTATGCCCAGCCACCTTCTGTTGGGCTGCACTCCTCGGGGTGGCTGGAGCCAGTGTTGTGCTCCGGGCAGCAAGCCCCAGGAGCAGCTCAGAGCACAGCCTGGAGCACAGCCGACCCTGCAGAGCGTAGTGGAGCAGGGCCTTTGTGGGGGCTACAGCCACCTTAAAACTCCTTATAACCCCTGCTGCCAGCCTTGCCTTAAACCAGGTGCACACGCCCGCCCCATGCCCTGCCGTTCCTCACCCAGCCAGGGTGGGGCAGACGGAGTGAAGCCACGGCTTGTCCAGGAGGCACAGGCAGGCTGAAGCAGCTTCCACTGTTATGTGCCACTTGTCCAAGGCATCACAGCAGCACCATCCCACATGTCCCTTCCCTGGCTGGGTGAGTGACAAGAGGGCATAGCCCCCGCTCCCAGCACCTTCTGCCTCCCGTTCAGAGTGCAGCCCAGCCCAGCCTGCCCCGCGCAGATCCGGGGGCACACGCCCGCTCTCATGCCCTCCCAGACCAGCAGCAAGAACCACCAGAAGAGCCATCAGAAGAGCAGCTCCCAGCCCAGTGGCACACAGCAGCACACAGTGGTGGGAACCCCGCTCCCCGAGTCCAGCGCCCACTCCGCCCTGGCTGGGCAGCTTGTCCCAGCCCCACCCCAATACCTACCTTTCTGTAGGGGCGTTGATCTACCCCGCCCCATGCCCTTCCCTCCCCGCTCTGCCCACCACAACAGGCTTACCAGGTACAGGCAGCTTGTCCAGCATCGCCAAGGACTGCCTATATAACCTATGGCGAAATCTTCAAATCAGCGCCAAATCTCCGAATCTGAATCAGCCAAATCGAATTGGGATAGCGATTTGAATCACCAATTCGAATAACTGTCCCTCCAAATCAGCTGAATCCAAATCCAAAGCAAATACTTGCTGCTTTGCACAGGCCTAGTTTGGACTAGATGACTTCCTCAGATCCCTTTCAACCCTAATTTTCTATGGGCACTTACACACATACCACAAGTCTGCTCCAACTCAATGCAAGTATGCTCTGACACACCGGAAATCCAGTGCATCAGAACAGACTCAATTAGTCTGATGGAGCATGTAGTTGATGTGCCCAGTTCTGCATCAGATGCAGTTGTATAAGTGGTACATATGGCAGAAATGCCCCGTCGGTGCCCCTCTCCAGAGATCTGTCTCAGCCAGCCTGAGAGGCTGCTGTTGAATCTCTCACAGCGGGGATCTCACTCCTTGTCTGCAGACAAAAGCCTGGCGCCTGGGAGGCGATGCTCTGGTCACCTGGGCAGGGGGGGAAAGAACCGGCCCTGCGCGGGCCCAG